AATGTACATATGTGTGTGCAGGTGCGGAAGAATCTAGAATAAGGAGACAGTTTCTCTGGAGTTGGTCTACAAGGAGTTGTAAGCACCTTGACATGATGCTGAGAGTCAAACATAGATATTCTGCAAGAGTAATGCACTCTCTATCATAGCTTTGACTGCTTACATAAACCTAGACATACCTGGAAGTTGGGCATATCAATTGGATAATTGCCTTCATACCATTGATCTTTGGGCTTCTCTATAGAGCATTTTCTTAATTTATAATTGATGTACGAAGGCTTAGCCACTGTAGAAGTGATATCCTTTAGTAGGAGACCCTGGGTTTTATAAGTAAGTTAGCTAAGAAAATAATGGAGAGCAAGGCAATACACAGTATATCTCCATGCTCTCTGCTTCAGTTCCTGCTTCAGGTTCCTGCCTTGAATTCCTTTCTAGACTTCCCTCTATAATGGACTGTTTCTCAGGATCTGTAAGCCTCTAAACCCTATCCTCCTCCAAGTCAGTTTTAAACAGTGTTTATTACTGCAGTTGGAAGCACATTAGGACATGCTCTTAACCACTGATCCATCTCTCTATGCTCCTACTATTTCTTAGATAATCGTTTTCCATATATCGATAGACAACAGTACAGGTAACTATCCCAGTTATCACAGAAGTGAAATATACAGTTTAGAAAATGAACACAAAAATGTGACAGTGCATCAGAGAATTTACATTCTCTGGTGATTGATGGATTTCATAGAAGACTTGAGAGTAAAAATTTCACAGGTTTACAAAACTGATCCATATCTATTAGATAGAGAAAGACTGAGCAGTGGGAGATTTTTCTAAAGAATCACTTTTACAGTATCAGAGGAAAACAGAGTTAAATTTATTTCCATGTATATGAGGTCCCTTTGGTTTAGTGTGTTTTAGTTCTCTGGGAAGGATACCTGATTACATTGTTAGCCCAATCACAGAAAACTAGATGCATAGGACACCTGTAGTAAGATGATAAATCACAATGAAAAACATATGTATTTGAGCAGAGATTTACATATGTATGATAATTTCTATAAACACTGATTTGGGTCATTATTTTCTTCATCTTACTATAAACATTTCATCTCAAGTCATATGTCATATGTTAGACAGAGAGCCTAAGAGAAGTAACCATGAGATATTAGGTTTTGGAGAAGATTCTAAGGATAGACAGCCAGGATAAACACTAGTTTTTAAGGCAAAGCAAGAACATTCACATGTGTGTTGAGCAGCTTAGCATCCTCACCATATGCACCTTTCTTCAAAATTGGAAAGGAAACCACTGCAAATGGCAGTTTGCATAAACATCACTGTTTTGACTCTCCTTTGGGCACCTGGAAATCCATCTGTCTTTTCCCTTTTGACTGGCAATATTTTAAAAGGTGACTGTGGTGGTACCTTGTGAAGCACTCGCTTGCATGTAGAACACGAAATGTGCAGCTTAGTGTGTTCCCAGTGGATCTCTGCAAAATGTGTCTTAACTGCACATTTGGTAAATACTATGAAGAAAAGCTTACTAGAAAGGGGAATAGGTGTACTTTTGGTGGGTGATGTACTTGCTGAGTACAAAGTTTCCCTTAAATGTATATCTTGAAGGAAAACTGAAGGTGAGGAAGGAATGTTTGTGTGCAGAAAACACATATGTAAAGGTTCTGAGGCAGGGCAGAATTTGGCACTGCATAGGGCCTGAGTAAGGGCAGTGTGAAGGAATAAAGAGTAAGGATGTGATGTGAGTGAGATGTGGAGAAACTGATAGTTGCTGTACCATGACAGACTTGTAAGTTATGCCAAGATATGTTCAATCTAACTTTCTTTTGTCTACATCATAGATTGAGGTAAAATAACTATTTATGTGTATATTTTTTAATCTAATGGTGAAGTATTAAGTTCTTACAACTTACACACACACACACACAGAGAGAGAGAGAGAGAGAGAGAGAGAGAGAGAGAGAGAGAGAGAGAGAGAGAATGTTGATTCTGTCCTTAAACATCTCTAAATGTTTAAAGATTCAACTAAGAAACAATTTAAAGTATATTTTTCCAAAAACAACAGAGATACTATACATTGAGAGGAAACAGGTGATTAATGAATGAAATGATCATTAAAATTTTGTGGATAATTCCTTGAACAGGTAGTTTAGGTTATACTCTAGGATGTCAGTTTATTAATCTATATTTATGCTGCTGTATGTGTCTTAGTCACATTCTAACTCAGCTTAAACCCAACACAAATAATCTAAGCTTTCATAAAATTAGATATATATAGCAGATTTCCCAAATTCAGTTTTTTATTTAATCATCTATAAATCTACATATATTGTTGGAAGTCTGGTTTGTTTTGTTTGCTTATTTCTTTGGGTGGTTAGAGGTTAGGTAACTGTGACCTGTCTATTCCTGGGACATTTGTAATTCACTGAGATGATTCCTCAAATTCCAGTAGAGATGTCACTGGGGTGCATGTTGGCTGTAGACAGTCTCTACAGTGAAAAATGTCAGGTATGCAGAACTCCCGAACAACTCATGTGACAGGAAGGTAGTCAGAGCCTGGTGGGTGACACACCTTGAATTTCATGGCTTATGTTTGATATTGGAGTGTTTTTGAATGATTTGAAAAAGTTTTTGTAGTGCAAAGAAAGTTTGTCACTATCAAATTGGTATTCTATTTCAAAACAAATTAGAGGAATATTGTGAAATTACTCATACTTTTTTCTCTGTGGATGGAAAAATCCTCTAATGCCTCTGTACTTTGTGTCAAGAAATATATTCTCCACTAAGCTTGTCTGTCATACTGAAAATAGATTTATATTAGAAAAATATAAATGGTATTTATAAAATAATTCTTCTTGGTAAAAATAATTCTTATCTCACAACGACTCCAAGTGCCAAACCTATGAAGTCGTTCACTACAGTTGATTAAAGTTAAATATTTTCAGTACCAGTTCATACTCTCAAATCCTCTGGTCTTTGAGAATACTGTTACTACAACATTTATTATTTCAACTATTTTTTATGAGAACTCATTTATTTTAGTTATTGATCGAGAAAGGTCTATAAGTCTCAATTCAGTCTTACATAAATATAACTAAAATTTAAATTATAAAGACTCTCTCATCCATTCTGGGCTGAGGGAATGTGTGGCTACCTTCATACAATTCTACAAATATTCCTGTAGGTAACCTGGGAGAGTGGTGGCTAGTAGATAGTGCATTCTTTGTTTTTGTTTGTGGTAGTTTTAATGATTAATGAACTACTGAACCCAGTAATGAGAAGATAGTCAAGAGTGGGGTGTCAACCCCAAGTTCAGGAGCTACTTTGTTCTCTGAACCATGCCTACTTATGATCACAAGAGCACTGGGGCTTCCACACTCTCCAGCTAGACAAAACTAGGACCTCTTGTGAGAATGTTTTGTGCTTTTCATGTAATCAGATTATTCTTCATTGAATTTACTTAGACACTTGGGTGCTTTAGGTACAATCATGTTCGGATTTTTAAAATGTTAATATTTACAATACTAATTATGCTATTGACTGTTATTAAACATAAGCCGTGTGCTCTAATCAGTCAGAAAAGTAATGGTCACAATCATAAGCATAGGGACTGGCAGTGTGAGAAGTGCTCCTGAAGACCAGGATAGCTTAGCAATCTGTTGCTGATCCCATCTGATTTGTGTTCACTGTGCTCTCATAATAGGCCTGCTTCTTCTTGTGCAAGTAAAATATCTTAGGATGCTTTCATTTGTAATTATTATTTGGAATCAACTAGTAAGAGATGCAGAGCTAAGGAGAGCCTCCAGAGTCGATAACAGTGTTCAGCTGTCACAACTTCTGCCACTATCATTTGCCTTCGATTGTGAATTTTCACAATTGAGAAAAAAATTGTGAAAATCTTCATTGTGAAAAACCTCTTCCAACTGCTGAAGTATAAAACTCATGGCTAATTTTATCTGTTTCTTGCCAATCTTAGATATTTATTTGACAGTTGCAGAGATCTCCAGTTTTCATGTCTGTCTGTCTGTCTCTCTCTCTCTCTCTTTATCCCCTATCTGTTCTGAACTGCATGACATAAACACTAGCAACCTAAGCTGGCGATGTACAAAGCGCTGCCCTGATCCTTGCTATTAAATTTAGGCAAAGATGCAAAAAGTGTAATATTTTCTCAATTATTCTACAAAACTCAGATTACTTAGAGAAAAATAATTTGAAATCTGAATTATGTGATTTTGTATAACAATTGTCTGCTTATATTCAAAGCATAAATTACAAATATCAGCTAAAGTGAGAAGCTAGTTATTGCTATTATAATCTTGTATTTGTATTTGAACTGTACATAAGCATGTATAGCATACTTGGTACTTTCCCACTACCATGGTGATCTTTCATATGCATCATTATATTCACATTTAACAAGTAAGGAGTAGGTAAAGCTGTATCTTCACCCTGTGTCTCAGGAATCTGCAGAAGTAATAAGTAGCTTTGGACTTAGAGCTAAGTGTAAGATTTCTCCAGATAACAACACAGTGCACATGCATGTAAACATAACCGATACTTTCATAGTTCTTATGTCTCTGAGAGTCTTGTAATGAGTGTTTATTTTGTTACTAGACTGTCATCCACCCCTGTTAAAATATCTCTTACCCATTTAGAAAACACTGTTTTTCATGAAGGCTCTGTTTGATTCTTTCCCCTTACCCTCCAAGGTTCTACAGGTAGGGGCCTGTAAACTAGACGAAGACAGGTTAACTACAGGAGCATGAGCAACTTACTAACAGGTGTGACTTCAGCCACAGGCAGCACTCAGTGGAGTGAGGAGTGACTTAAAGGACAGTTAGCACTGAAATTATTACATTCCTTAACTAACAAAGGGTAGATTATAGTGAATTAACAAGACAAAGAATGTGGCTGAGGGTTTAGGACAGCAAGTTAGGTGATGGAAATAAATGAGAAAGTAAGTGAAGACAAGTCTCAGTCAGCATGGCGTGATGGAGTCCTTTGCTGTACCTCAGGACCATGGCATGGAGAACTGTCTTCAGAAGTCAGCATCCATATCTCTGGTGCAGAAGGAAGAAGGACCTTTTAAAACCTGCATCTGATTTTAGACACATGGGCTGTGTTTGTGTGTGGGGTGTGGAGCAGAGGTCTTTTCTTCTTTTGTCACTTGCCTTCAGGAAAAAAATGGGTCTCATGCTGGACTGACAGTTTTTCACATGTGACATAGTTTTCTTCTTTTCCGTGCTAATGCCACTGTGGATTTACACATTTTCTACTTATGCCACTGTTTTTAACATAAAATCCTATGTGTGCTGCCTTTCTAACTAAAATTGTTTTTGGTTGACTTAGCAATTTAAATCAGTGTCTATTAAACTAATTTCTTACAATTTTTCCTCTGAATATTTTCATTCAAGTTAATATAAGCATATCATCAGAAACTTTAGATATGAAATTTGTCTTCTAGTGGTTTTTATTGTCTCAACATTTATAAATGGTTTAAATAAGCACCCTGTATAAATGAAATACTGATTGAGAAAATGTCATGGTCTAAAACTGTAATTGTCATTGAATTTTACCACTAAATATGCAATTCATAATTTCTGCTGAAGGTCTGAGTACTTCAAAGACTAATTTGAGAAAATGACAAAGTTCACAGGAAGTATTTAGTGTTATATTAACACTGATTGACACTGGAGGAAATGCTGCTTTAAGCACACCACATTGTAATTTTTGATCTTTGTTTCTTGTTAGGAGCCTTTCCCTGAAAATAACAAAAGACATTGATCAAGAAGCCCGGTGTTCCCATGTCAGTCGGATGCCCAACAGTCCCTCCACAGACTGGCCCCTGCTGGGTGTGGAGGAAAATGGAGGTGTAGATTCTCTGCCGTTCAGACTGATGCTACAGGAGTGTACGGCAGTGAAGACGCTGCTGCTGAAGATGAAGAGAGTGCTTCAAGAGGTAGGGCTGCTCTGCAGTTAGCGCTTGTTCCTGCTGGTCTGCCACAGGTCTCTAGACCTGCTTACACTCTGCTCAGTCTCCTGTTATCTGTGGGGCAGTGAGCATAGGTCAGGTGTTCTGCTGAGCCTTAGCTTTCCTCGTATACCAAATGAATAGCTTCAAGTTCTGGTGTACAAATAAGTACTCAGAAATTCTTTGGATTCCGTGAAAAAGGAAGTTAAGACCAATATTTCCCTAATCTGTCAGGCAAGGAGAAGTAGGCATCAGCTATGATGTAATCCATTTATGTCACTGTCAAGAAGTTGAGAAGTCTATTGAGTTTTCTTCACCTTGATGTTACTTGGAAATCATCTATATAGCATTATAAAGGCAGGTTTTTGAAAGTGATTTTTTTCTGGTCATAATCATCCCAGTATACTTCAGTCTGCAGGTGTTAATGAAGTGTCTAGTGGATACGTTTGCCCTCTGACAGCCTCTTGTGAATGTTTTCACACCTACTGTTTTATGTGATGAAAGTATCCTGGAACAGTGTCTCTACATCTTCCTCAATTATATTAATCAGTCATATGGGAGTATCTATACCTCAGAAACTGGAAAGCACTATACATTGAGGCTTTCAAAAACTTTTTGACAGGCTGAATATCCTTTAAATTTTGACTAGCATGCCACTTCATGCATGACTATACAATCTCTGTATTGTTAACATGGCTCTTTTCCTGTACCTGAGTGGTTAAGTTGGAATCTCCTTAGCCTCCCTGTGTGATACTACAATATGACCCTCTGTGAACAGCAAAAAATAAAATCTGTTATATTAAAGGCTATTAATCTGAAACTCTATAACAATTATCTCTTCCACTTTCTACCTCTTGCTGGTAAGGATTTTAGTAAGAAACCAATATGTGTTGAAAGGAAGGGGGGAGGAAATGTCAGGATGCCTTTCTGGGGTACTGAAGTTTATGATTGTAAATATCTATGATAGCCACTGTGGAGTAACTAAATGGAATTCACAGAGAATGTTTCCATACTTCTGTCTGGGTTCCTCATTGAGCAGAAATGAATGAGAATTAATCATTACAGGTATGGCAGGGTAAGCAGTTCTTCCCTGTTTGTGCATACTTCTCCCAGAGCAGTGTGTAACACAAGGCTTCAACACAGGCTTCAGTTCCAGAAATGGACATTCACACAGATACTTTTAAGGAACACCTTCCACTGACTTGTCCTCTACAGCAGGGGTTTTCTACCTGCAATTTCAACTTCATCACCAAATTTGAATGTATTTTATATTAATAAAATTGGTTTTAATTAGAAGTTCAGCTCTTGTACTGGATTTTTAATATTTCATGGAGGTCCTTGCTATCTGGTCATCAAAGCAGGCATTCATATGCTACCTTTAAATATTCTCTAGTGTGACAGGCTTGTCTTTTAATATACAAGTTTAACCAAAAATTAGGTTGTGCGCTATGTTGACATACATTTTGCTGTAGGGGTCCCCCTTTTTCCCTGTTGGCCTGTTGGCCACCAGTCCATGAAGACAAGGGACAGAAATGATGACAGAAAGCCATAAGGACTGTGAGAACAATGGAGAGAACGCCCAGAACATGACTTCAGTGAATCAGCTCAGCTTTATTCCAGAGTGAGGAGAGATATTAAGAATGGGGACAGTAGCTGAGGCATCACCTAATTTGCATAAAACAGCACATTCCTCTTATAAGGTGCCTAGTAACGTCTTAGTTATCATATGTGAAAGCGAGGTCCTATGGTAATACTCCTGCCTGTTTAACCGGGGGGGGGGGTGCATCTGCAAGGAACTGTGTCAAGGGTCATACTAGAGATAAGTCAGGCATCTGGGCCTACAGACAGTCTCCATATAAGGTCAGGTAGAGAACAGGGCACCTTCTACGTGGACTGGGGGTGGGGGGTGTCATCCATGTTGCTGAGCTCTGAGTGAGCTGCCAGGTCATGGTAGACTGCAACTTCCAACCAGCAGAGCCTCCAAGCAGTTTGCCATTATTTTTGAGGCAGAGTCTCATGTAGAGTCTTCTGGCTTCAAGCTGAAGATGTCATGAAAGCCAACTTGAATTTATGACCTCCTCACTCCACTTCCCTAGTTCTAGGATTGTGAGCTTGCACTGCCATGCCTGGGTGGTATACAGAAAATGTTTACAGTTTATCATCAGTTTCCTGCTTCTACCTATGATGAATGTTAGATTGGGATTGATAGACATGAAGTGGAATCAAAAAAGCTAACAGGCATCTCCATAAGGGGAATTGTTCTTTAACCAGAACAACTGAGGGCCACAGTCCCTGCAGAAGTGAGAGCGTGCACATGTGCGGTACACATCTTGGGGTTTTATAGGATGGTAAAGAGAAGACTAGGTATGGAAAGAGTCCATCTGCAGATCAGTTCCCCGACAGTAGAAGTGGTAGACACCAGAGGGTTTGGTATGTGGACCTCCTCACAAGCATCTTGGTCCACTGAGGCCTTTAGGTCATTAATAGCTACATCAACCCTACTTAAAATGTTATCACTATAAACTAATTTCCAGAAGTATAAGATGTAGTCAGGGGTTATTCTGAGCATAAAACTAATGAAAATAACTGAACAAACTGAATTATGTATCTTGATTGTAGCAGAAGTTCTCCGGTCCCACCTAGCCCTGAGGTCCCACAGCAGTTCATTAAAAAATCATTCAGAGGCTTATATTAATTACCAACTTTATGGTCTATGGTAGTCTTCTTGCTAGCTAGCTCCATCATCTTAAATTAACCCATTTCTATTCACCGTGTGTTCCGTGGCCTTACCTGCATCCCATTACATGTTGTTCCTTGAAATAACTGAACAAACTGAATTACATATCTTGACTAGGTTTTGATTTTATAATCCCTTTTCTGATGTTCTCCTTGAAAGCTGTCTATGCCTTAATGGAGGTAATATACACTTGTGACATTTTCATACTTGGGTAAATAAAAGCTGATTTTATTTTCCTTATAACCAAATTCTGGATACTTCAGTGGGGAAGGAATCTGTGTAAGCATTTGAAAAGGCTCAGAAAACACAAAAAGGTCATAGATGTTTTTGGCCAGACAATTCAAGATGACCTTACACTTACATGCAGTGAAGGGCTGATAGCTAGGAAATCCAGAGCCAGAAGGTTGTTTCCTGGGTGTCTAGAGTTCATTAATACTGTGGGACATGAGGAGGACTTTCCATTGTAAGTTCCCATAGCATTTGAAATATGTGATTGTTCTTCAAGTCTTAAATGTGTTATAATTAAAAACAAACAAAGAAACAAACAGAGCCAGATATTAAGCTGAAAGCTGAAGGAACAGAGAAGCAGAGCAAGCCCTGGCCAACCTTACCTTGCCAACTCCCTAAATCCTCTGACTGAAAGCCTCTGAGTCCTTTCCTGGGAAGGATCCTGGGAAGGATCTCAGCTGAATTGCTTTAGTTCCTGTTTCCTCATGCCTTATATACCTTTCTCCATACTGCTGTCACCTCCTGGGATTAAAGGCATGTGTGCTTCCCAGTACTGGAATTAAAGGTGTGTGCCACCACTGCCTGGCTCTGTTTCCAGTGTGGCCTTGAACTCACAGAGATCCAGATGGATCTCTGCCTCCTGAGTGATAGGATTAAGGGTGTGTGTCACCATTGTCTGGCCTCTATGTCTAATCTAGTGGCTGACTCTGTCCTCCAAACCCCAGGCAAGTATATTAGGGTATACAATATATTACTACATGTGATCTTCCAAATTACCTCGTCTACAGAGTCAATATTCCCTGTACCATTTGAATGAAGATGAACACTATTCTTTGGTTCCGATAGTAATACTTAAAAATTTTAATATTTACTTTTGTGTTGTTGTTGTTATCATTTTTATTTTATATTATGCATTATATGTATGTGTGCCAAATATGTACCTGTGTCAACAGTGGTCAGAAGAGTGCATCAGATCTGAAAATGGAATTAATGCTGGTTATGAACAATAATGTGGGAGCTGGGAGCCAAACTCGGTTCCTCAGAAAGATCAAGAAACATTCATCATCACTGAGCCATTTCCCCAGCCTTATATTTTACATTTTACTAACATGTTTTACCCAATATCATTTTTTTTTAAATTTTTTATTTGCAAACTGTACTGAAAATGTAAGCTAAGTACTAAATCCTATTAGCTCATTCATGATTTCTTCCCTTTAATTATTTTATCTTTAATGGGTGTTTGTTATTCCATCTCCTTGGGTTTAAGAAAATGTTGATCACATTATATATTTTGTCAGTTAGTAATTCTTACACATTTTAACCATATACATAGTGAACTAATCTAGCTTTGTGAATCCACTTGTTATGCTAGACTATTACATGGAATTTCAATTGAATGCAATTCTTAAAGTGAGTACAGCAGTGAAATTAGATACAACCCTGTGCTGATCATGATTGACCTCCTGGTGGGAGCAGCTCTGCCTGTGAGCAGTAGCTATGGCTCTAGCTGGAGTCAGTTTCAAAAACCCCTACTAAGTCCCAGCCTGCAGAAGCTGAAGACTTTCTGACATTCTTTTCTGTGGGTCCTATAACAGAGGAACTAGATTAAGATATTCTCTTGAAGATGTTGCATTAAATACAGCTGACTCCTTCCTCTACCCGAGGCCTCTTCCTGGATACTTGGAATTCAGTCTGTGCCTCTTTTTTTCAGTTACTCCCACTTGAGGGATGTCCCAGGTTCTCATTATAATCATATTTGGCACTCTGACTTGTAAGCTTCCCACCTACAATCCAGTTTCTTTATTGGAGTCAGAAAAAAAATGAGTATGTGATCAGTCACTCTTTGGGGACACTTTGAACATTTTCTGAACACACTTAATTGTACACTGTATGTTAACAATGTTCACATCTTATGATTTTACATGACTGATTCTGCAATTGCTAATTCTTTATCTCCAATGATACTCTAATTAAAAGTCATAAGTGAGTTGAACTTGCCATCTTATCCTAGTATCTGTTCAAA